TCGAAATGTGTCAGTATGTGTATAATCCCTTGTCGCAAAGGTCAGTTGAGCCCTTCAGTGTTGTGTTTACCTTGATAAGACAAAGTCAAAAATTCATTTATTCCATAGGTTACATATTACACTATAAAACGTCTCTGCTCCCTCAACGCAACCCTGAGAAGAACGAGCAAGAAACTCTAGAGCTTGCTTTTTTCAAACAAATGCTATGGAATACACTTTGAATCATATTTACGTGGGATCAACACTCATGTTGTCTTTCCATACATCTTTATCTAACAATTATACTCTTCAATTTTGTAATATGACTTTTCATTTAATTTTTTTTATAAACAACTTTTAATGTAAGTTTTAAACTTAGGAAATAATAACCGTAATATATGATCCGGATTCTTATTGTAAAAACGTATACAGTTCCCCAAACAAACGTGAACCCTAGTTAAATGAAATCATGGTACTATGAGTTTGGATTTAGGTCTAAGGTTAACATTATGGATATCTTCTTTCTAAATGAAATTATGTATATTTTTACGGACATATAAAATATGGGAGTAAATGAACTGTGATGCCAAAGTCATGATACCAGTCTCCTTAAACTTGTCTCTCAACCTTAACGGTACACAGAACGAATCGCTTGTTTTTGCAACACAAATATGGTTTGTATATCTGCCGCCTTACCCCACATGCGAATCCCGTAGGACTTTATACTATGTAAGTAACTAAAGTAAACTAGTCTAGCAGCAGCAACATCGGTAAGCTCACGGACTCACGGCCCACTATTCTACGGACTGCGTATGCAGCAGAGCTTAATAAGCTGGCCAAGGAAGATATAAGCATTCGTATATTGCAATCGTCTTGATTAGGACAAATAGATCAGCCGTGACCATGGAGCCTGCAACTGTAGGGCCCGAAACGTAGGTTTGTTTGAAAAAACCAATACCTATACGCGGTTTAGATCCGAAAAAATGGTTACATTTCCCATGTGTAATCATCGCGAATACCAAAGAACTCGATAAGACACAAAGAACTTGACTAGATTTTATGAGTACAACCTAATTGTCACGCGTCTCCGAAAACCGCACCGCGCGTTTAAAACATCCAATTTTCATATATAGTTGTGAAACAAAACACAATTTTCGCCAAGGAATCGAATCGATACCTATAGGCGTGTGTAACCCATAATTTCATACTTTACCTTCCAACATACGTATAGGAACTAATATCACAGAGTCAAAAGATCCTAGTCTCAAATAAAGTTTTGCAAAACAAAATACAATTTTCGCATAAGAATGGCTTTCACCTAAGGGCTGAATTGATTTAGCCGGGAATAACCCACGGTGGCATAAATTGAATTATCGTCGGCACCGTTTGACAACGGTGTGTCCAGGGAGCCGACTTATTGAATATATTTACATACATAGATATATTTTACATACGCACCACAATGCGACGTCGGGTGGGTCGGCGGGGATTTTATGGTGTTTGAGTAGGTATTATAGATTAATAAATATTATCTAAAAGATGAACATGCGCCTCGTTACCATTTGTGAACATTGAATATGAACGTGTAATTTTAACGTAAAATGATCGTACTTCGCCAATGTGGTATAATTACTTTATGTGTGTGAGTTTTGGTATTTTATTAACTTATACAAATATCACACTTATTAAATCGGTACGTTCTATACATAAATAAAAAAGTAAAATTACAAGATGAGTAAATAACAGCCAATTTACAAAATGTTTTAGTTCATATTTTTTTCATTTTTATATTTGGTATTGCGTAAAAGACCTTTTTTGCGAATAATGAAAATTTGGATAGACGGATTGACTTTTCCGCCCTTCCTTACCCGAAGAAAATGAATATTTAATACTTATCTAATATTAAATGCATAGGGAAAATACTCACAACTGTCTTAGGGATTTCGGCAAAAAACTGTTCACGCGTTCCGCGTTTGCGTTCTGCCTTATTTGTAATGTATTGCGTCTGAAGTCGTGACGCGTTAAAGAAGGCGTTCCGACCACGTCATGCAATGTGTAGGATTCGGCGAACACGAGTGAGGGCGAGAAAATTTGAACGCGTGATCGCCTCCTGTTTGCGGAATCCCCTAAACAAGGGATTTTCCTGTACTCAGTTAATACGTACCAGAGTAACGTAAGGCAAGGAGCACTCACTTCAGAAAACGACTATATTTAATTGTCCGCCACCCACTTAGGGCGTTTTATTTTTATTTCATTTCTTAAGGAAATACGATGATAATGTCAAGCAACTTACAGTCAGATATAGTCAGTCAGTGATGTCAGAAGAGTAAGCATCTTCTCAGACAAACCTTTTAAGGACACAATCAGATAAAATTGATTAGGTAAGTACTTTCTAACCGTAATTGCCTAGTGGTTTAACCTACCACCTCTCAAGTGAGGAAAAACATCGTGATGAAACATACATACATCTGCAAAGCAATTTAATGATGTGTGGGAAATTCCCAATACGCATGTGGCTCGCGTGAGACCTGCAGCCCAAGCCCTCTCTTTGTGAGAGGAGATCTGTGCCGAGCAGTGAGACGTGCATGCTAACATCATAAACAACAACTTTTGCTCCATGACTTTTAATAATTCACCACATTTTACTTTCGTACAAAAATAAAAATTGTAAATAGGTCGCTCTAAACAGTGATAACTCTGTGTAAAACGCAAGAGCGCGGGTAGGGGTCGTCAGGGAGGTCATTACTACTGTACTAACAAATACAGGCCTAAAAAGACTGATAGTACAACAAAAGCTTAAAAGTTTATTTTTGGCACATTCATTATATTTTGTAAAAAGACAAGGAATAAAAGTTAGAGCAATCAAGTCCTGCAAAGTTGTTAGTATTTTAAAAATACACGTTTGATTATATTTGACCAACTTGTGCTGTTCCGATTTTTTTCGTCAAATGCAATGAAATGATCCTCACATGAAACTGAATCAATCAGCACTAAAAAAAATTATCAATTTTATTAATTTTTATGAACAACTCACACTTGACCAAATGATTGACTATGCATTTATATTTTTATTGAATTAAAAGATAGTTTTATTACTTTCTTTGCATCAGTTTTGTCATCTGTTAACTTATTGTTACCTCGCACATTATTAAAACTAGAGCCTCTGTACGAATGAATAAATAAATAAATAAATAAATGTCATATTGAATGTACGGGAGCGTTTAATATTACAATTTTGGATATTTCTAGTTTTATTTTTAAAAAGTTATTGATGTCGGTTTATTCATTAGGCAACATACTTTCGATATCAGTTTAAAGCTTCTTGATATCTCTTATATTTATGGAATAATCGCCTGGACGCACTTAACGATTACACCCTGTATAGAACTGACTATTATTATTATTGATTACTTTCATTGTGCAGATAATTTTCCTTACTTTGATGGTTCAGTTCATTCATACACTGACTATATGACTGCAACTTACGTATTTTAAACTCACGAATGAGAAATTGCTTTAACCTCCACCGGGTCAACCTTGGTACCTTCCTTATAGTATTCAGAAACAAAATCAAGTTAGTCTAAACCAAGCAACACAAAGTAAAATCCCTATATACCCAATTCCTGATGTCATGAAGAAGTTCTGTCATAACTCAGCAGTAACAGTTAGTTTTAATCAGTCGTTACGGCGCAACTCCCTTAGGCATCGTTAACAAATGGCAACTTTGTTCCCAGGGAATACAATCCAGATGCTCATAATGGCTTTTTAACACAATTACTGTTCCAAACGTTTTGAGATGTTGAAAGTGTTTTGCTTATTTAATGATGCAACCTTTTCTACGTTGTGGAAACATTAATTGCATTGTTGGCGACATATTACTGCAAAAAACAATTCACATCTGATTACTATATGTGCTATATGTACTATCCTGGTACAGGTCAAAATACCTGGTCGTTCTTATATAGCACACTAGCTGGTGCCAGCGTCTTGCGTCTGCGTAGAATAAGTACTTCAATTAGTCTACTGTACTATACAAATTTTCATAGTTTTATTCTCCATTTATTTTATTTAAATTTATTCATACGTTTATTTTACTCATAGTTAGTGTTCACTAAAGATTAAATGAAAACTTTGTGTCTTTACATATTTGATCTATTTTAAAAACTAGCAGTGTAAAAAAAATACAGAGGCTCTAAACATTTATTGGAAACTTTCTATATAATAATAATAGATTATCCTGTCATTTATAAACGTCATTTGCCATTGAAGCTCACGATGTTTTCCTTTACTGTAATTGGTTGCCTGAAGAAAAAGGTTTATGATCACTGCTTCTTCGTTTACGTTTTTTACATAATTCTAAAAAAACGGGTTTTTCCCAGTCCTCCGCTCGAAACTCCAACCGGTAAGGAAAGGCGTGAATAATAATGAACCTATATATATAGGTAAGTACCAAATCCTGTGTATAATGTATACTGTTAAATGTTGCACATCATGAAAACTCCGAAACCACAGATATTTTCGAACACTGTTACCACGTCTATATAAGTTACATTAAGATCACAGACGTATTTAAGACAATTGTAGTAATTCATTATCATGTAATCACAACAACATTAAGAAGTAATATTCTGATGAGTAATATTTTTTAATTAATTAATTGTAATTATTTCTAGCAATTAATTATATCGACTTCGCAATCAATGAACTTCTAGGTTTAATTTAAGAAATAAAACAAAATTGACACAGACTTCAGTTTTATTACAAATATTAATTGCACATAAGAACATTTCATACAAAAATATATTCTTAATTAAAAAGAGTCCCACTAAAATAAACTAAAAAACTGCAATACAAATGGTTCCACATTTGACAAATAAGAAAATTATTTTTTTAAATTTTGATTTCACATCTAAAATAGTATTTGTTTAACACCAATCGGATTATCACAAATTTAGAAAAAAAAAGGCATTTGTTATTGAATAATCCAAATCAGATGTCAAGACGTTTTCTTTCTAAAACTAACTAATAACATATAAAGTTGAAATTATATAATTAATTCATTAAAAAAATCATAAATTATATTACAGACTGAAATAATAATAAGTATATTTGCAATATAAAAAAATGACTGAATTTGAATTTTTCAATATACAGATAAATATAGATTCATTGTCAATATTATTTAATAACAATTCAACAATCTAGCTAAAAATTTTTATATACATTTGTGATGCAAAATGGTAACATTTCATCTTTGATGTATAATGTAAATTTACATTTTTATATATTAAATTTTAAATCGATAAAATCAATAACTAGTTTAATAAAAGTACAATTGATCGAACGTATTACGAGAAATGATTTTTAAGTATCCTATTATTAATAGTATCTATCTACTCTATAGAATCACAAGTTTTCTTCTATCTCTTTCTTATAACTCTAACACTCCACTAGACAAAAAGGGATAGAAATGAAATCACGATTCTAATGACAAGCTAGACGTTACCTGCAGGCACTTTTAAAAATCAAATATTACAAACCAGCTTACAGTATCACGTAGCTGACGATTTTATATTCACATGAGGTTATAAGACAGCATTGAATCGAAAATTAAGTTGTAAGCAACTTTTAATACAAAAGGAGTAAAGTATAATTAGTACGCGGATTTATGGCCCAAGCAGGTGTGTGTGTATACTGTCGAACACAGCTATTACATGCTACGTTGAAGCACTATTAACGACACGACAATATGATTATGTTCGTATCCAATTATGTACATAACCGAATAGGGGAAATACCAAGACCTTGTCTTACTTCTCTCGTTTAAAACGTAGTATTTTTACCCTAACTGTGTCAAAGTAAAAAGTGTAAAACGTATATAACACTAAAGGTCTATAAATGTCCATAAACTCGCGCACCGACTGAATTTACGTAACTTGAAACATAAGATATAATAGCTGATTTCCTAATTACATTAAAAAAACTAAAAGCTTTTTTCTACTTAAAATTATAATAAAATTATGACAAGGCGTGATTTATTTTAAACTATAAAAATATATGGGTTGTTCGAAAAAAAAAGGTTTAGTAGAAATTTAAGAGTATAATTTATTAATGATTATTGGAACAACTTTCGCTGTACGATTTGAGTTTTTAGAATATCACAAAGGAAATTTTACGTATAAGTGACTCTATTAAAAAATTGTCAAAAATCGTATAACCAATGCTGTTGCTTATAATAAACACAAAATTCTCCTAAAATGTACCAAACCTTTTTTTACACCCAAAAGGTATTTTCCTAAATATCAGCTATTGCCGCTACAGCTTGAACATGTTCAAAATAAAATTGTACAATTTACACATTTCTATGGTAACTTTTTGGACCTTACTAACTAATTATAATTAAAAAAATATAGTAAAAGTAAAAGTCACGACGTCATATTCAGAGAGCCAAAGTATTTTGAGTTTTATTTTTGAGTAGACAAAGAGTAAAATATGAAATTGTGGCATCACTATGGCGTAGTTAAATTACCGAGTACGTTCTTAGGCTGACAAAAAATAATAATATCGTTTGATTACTATATTTGGAAGTTCATTTGAAAGACATTGCCTATGAAGTTGAACATAAGTTCTCAATAACTGTATTGAGAAGTTTTAAATCATGATGACTGCATCATGATTTAAAATTTCACTCAGTATAGTTATAAGATAACGACCAAAGACCGAAAGAAGTAACCGTTATTACCATTAATGTTGCTTTTTTGTCGGTTACTGGTTTCGGAAGCACGTACATTGTAAATTTAACGTTAAAATCATGTATTTTGTGTTCAATTTTGCATACATTGATACACCTTATGACGGTTACCGCCCTCAGTCCCAGTTATGAAGACGATTATTTTCCCAGTTTCCGTAGACACAAGTAAATATATTATTTCTCATCAACCATTTCAATAGGTACGAATTCGTTTGCTGTTGCCTATTTTGAAACATATATTTAGAAAACAAATAAATATAATATGTGGAACTGATATAAAAATACACCTTTCATCTCTGAAATAACAGCAATATTTTTCATGCACTTTTAATGTAACTTTTAACATTTTCTATAAATATCAAATTAGTTACAAAATTGACATCCCTGGTAACCAGAATATGAGATTCAAAATTTTATATAAGCTATTATTTGATGGAACTAGAAGTGCAAAGAAATATTATAATAAGAAGACTGCTGTAACAGAAAACGTAGTTTACAGTCCGAGAGCTATAAAAATGTAAATTTCTTGCGGACAGACCTTAAAGAATTTTTGTAGAAAAGATTTCTAGATATGAAGAACCTAAACCAATATTTGGAAGAAATATGTTGGAGGAAATCGGAAAAGTTTTGCTTTTTAGAACTCTTGATGAGATTCCCGTCATGAAAGGGAAAGACCGTGAACAAAGACGTAACCTGACTGGACATTTACAACGTTGAAAAGTAAAAACGCCGATGATAATTAATTGACTTACTTGTAATACGAATTGTGCCAGCGATACGAAACAAATAATAAAGAAGATTCATGTTTAGCAGGAAAAAATACATATTATCACGCCAGTATCCCAAAGGGTAGGCAGATGCTGCGGACGAAGTGAAACTTGCTACGTTCTTGACACCTCTTCCGATTGCTCCATCAATCTTTTCGTGCACTCTCTTTCATTTTCTGATGACATCCTTTTTGAACAATATTAGACGTATATATTGTATTAATAGACAATTTACGCCAAGTTATTATTGAACTGTGAACTGTTTCAATTTCAGATATTTAATTGCCCTTTTCTCACATCTTATCATTTTTACAAAATTCTTCTAATTATCTCCGAAATGACATCAGCACCAAAAATCAAACTTTAAAATGTAGGTTACGATGGCGCCAGATATAAACTTTTGACAATAATAATATTGGATAGGAAATTAAACCGTTGTAATAGTAATTATATCACCGAAAATCAGCTGCGCTCCAAAACCACTCCACAGATTCTAATAATGCTACTTTTCGTAAATATCAAGTTTTTTCTTTCAAACGTATATTATATCAGTACAAATTAAATAAATTAAGCCCCTAATAAAAATTACAGTTATCAATTATTTTGTTAGTGATAAGCACTCACAGAATTGGTTGTCTGACATTACCACTCCATTGTCAGGAGTGCAATGCATGTCAGTGGATGTAAACAATTAAATTCTGTATTTAATTTTTAGTTCAAGACTTAATCATGTTAAAACATATTATTAGTATTTTTTTTTTTCAACCTTTAACCTTATAATGAATAAGCACAAGTATCCTAAAACTCTCCAGATACATAAAATGCAGGATGAATAGCTAACCCATCAGGGCCGTGTAGATTACCCTAAGCCCTACCATCAATTATAACTTTCGGACCTAAAACAGGGATGCCGTGAGCTTCAGTTGGCAAGTTATTGATTTCTTGTGCAAACAGAGACTTACCGAGACGCAAACTTATCATTACCGTCCACAGCTGCTTAAAGAAAGAAGTTACAACGGCGTAAGTGTTCATTTGTTATCAAATTAGTAACGAAAATAGTGTTTATCTATGTTTTACTACTCGGTCAAGAAACCCCGTCTTTATTGAATTATAGTAACATGCCGAAGGTCCATAGTTTACGAACAAAATGTAGTAAATCTTTTTACCGCCGGAATATCTAAGTTTGTCGTACTGACTGAGGTTTGATTCAACTATTGATTTTATACAATTCAGTTTGCGGTCGAAATCTGATTTAGGTGAAACCAAATTTAGGAAGATATATTCTCAAGTCAGAAGTTTTGGATTAGAGATGTTAGATTGCCAAGAAATTATTGATTTTATCAAGACTACACATTTAACTTACCTACCGTTGTACGACGGTTTGATAAACACGTGACTTCAATGTTAAATAAATACTTTTTTGGAATTTATTTTGATTTTTTAATTTAAAACTCCTTACTAAGCAACTGACTTACTTTTTTAAATTAGCGCGAAAATAAAAAAAATAAAAAAGAATTGGAAAAAGTTATGTTAGATCGATACATTTTCTGAACATGGAGAAAATGCAATTTTGAGTATACCTTTTTTCATCTGCAATCAGAGCAAGAAAACTTGTCGAATTATGGTACGAACTATTGTCACACACCCCATATGCACCAGATTTGGACCTATTCGAGTTTTCTGTCTGATTTTCACATCAGATGAGGAAGTGCTGAAAAAGAGACTTAGTTTTCAGTGTGCCAAAAAATATTTTTCGATGGGTTGAAAAGTTGGGATATCGCTGGTCAAGGTGTATAGAGTCAAAAAAAGTTTGCGTAGAAAAATAAACCGTAATGTAAAAAAAAATTTTTTTTTTCTTCTCAAAGTCACGGGCTTATCAAACCACCACCGTATTAAAGAGAAAATGTTTAAGTTGTAAAATAAATATTTCAAGTACGAAGATCCCTGACTTGAACGAACGATAATACACGAAAAATAATTTAAATCTCCGAGGGTCCACAATGGATTAGGCCACCATGATGGACTGTTGCTTTATGCGCGTATGGAAAATTTTAAGAAATAATGATATATAACAATAATTTTAGATTTGCCACACAGAATTTGAAAATGGATGATGAAAAACATATGGCAAATTTTTTTTTTCTACATAGTACAAATTGTATCAAAAATGGACAACAGCGAACAAAAAAGCAATTCTTATTTATAATCCATCGATATCACATAAGATCGGGCATCGTTGAGCCCCGCTGAACGTTTGTTCAAACTTACAATTTACAACTATAATACATGCTCGTGTAGAACCGTTATACATGTCCAATGGTATTTAGAAATAGAAATAGCACCAGTGACTGTACAAGTTCGAGGTTGAACCCGACGGAAACCAAACAAATGGAAGGAGCACACTAGTGATTGTTGACAACTCAAAATGGAGAAATTCGATATATATATAAATTTTAAATTAACACAATTTCAATTTCTTGACTACAAAGGTTCTACACAAGCGCGTAGTAAATACTTGCCTAACTACTGGTCTGTACAAATTGCTAAAAGATTTTCATTTCAATTCTCCTGTTTTGTAACCGAGTCCTTAATTAACATTGTTGAATTAATAATAATCCAATACACATTGGGCTCAAAGCATAGACCTATTTTCTGACAACTTTTTGGGACTTTTTTGCTGCAGTTCAAATATTACGATCAACAATTTACTTGGCCATGAGAACAGTCGTTGGTCGTTTATGTGATTGTCATATCGACATACTGTATACGACATCTACATTAACTTCGATCCACGAAAACGTTCCAATACAATTTCTCAATTTATCAACAACAATGTCCTATAAATCGTTGTCATATCATTTCCTAACTAAACTAACTATATCTACACGCATACAACTTTACAAGTTTTTTTTTTAAATTATAATACGTATTCTTATAAAGTTATATAAAAATCCAACTGTGGTCCTTTAGCTTGTGACTGATCACTAAACTTTACTTAAGTGCTATGAAACTCGTGCCTCACTTTGATTAGGTCTGTGGCGACCTTTATTTAGGTGAACTCACGTTTTGTTCCATGGTGCGGGGTATCACAGCGTTATGTGCAATGTTCGAGGAGAGGCTCGTTCTCGGCCCGGTGCGGGTCATTGTTGCTGACTCCGCTTGCGGGGAAAGCGGTGCGGGAGCTAAGGACCGTGACATCGCCGTCGGTGCACGGTAGCGGCGAGTATAATGGACCGCTGATGTTTCTTCGTGCTGTTTTGCGGGCACTCACCTGGCGGGTGGACACGTTAGGTATATTTTTTAAATTTATTTGAATGTTACGATGTTTTACTACTGATATTCAATTATTTTTTTGTGAAATTACTCCACTACTTTGTTATGATTATTATTAATACAAAAATCGTAACACTAAGAAAAATTCATTCGATCCGACTGGATTCGAACCAGCACCTTCCAGCAATTCGTGCTAGATGGTCTGTCAATTAAGCCACGGAACGAAGGAATTTTTCTTAGTCTCTTGACCTTTGTATTAATAACTAGTGGAGTAATTTCAACAACAAACGTGATATTCAATAAACTTAAAAATTACAATTATTACAAGCACATAGATAAATTCGCAAGATCTGCTGGTTCGTTCTGTGGCTTAATTGGCAAAGCATCTAGCATGGATTGCAGGAAGGTGCTGGTGCGAATCCTGCCGGATCGAAAGAATATTTCTTAGTGTTTCGATCTTCATATTAATAATAGTAACGTTAGGTATTTACAGTTAAAATTAAAAGAAAATTAAAAGTTCTCCATTTCCTTGCCGGTAGACCAGAAGGGAAACGGTTACTTATCAATTGAGAATTGAGGTTTTAAACTAAGTTACGTACATTTGTGTATACTTAGTAGCAATACCTCGTGGTAGTGGTGAAAGAAAACATAGCAATGTAACCTGCATGTGAAAGAAGATTCACAACCCTCGGAAAACGTGTGAAGAGGGGTCTTCTTCAATTTAACAAAAGGGGTCAACTTGCATTGGGCCATTAGTAGACAGAGCGTAGACGAGAAGAAACCCGCGTGACTCAGCAGTGAAACATACAATTAATTGGTTGAAGATGATGAATTCCCGTAGTAATACGATTCATTTTGCTTGATTCGAGCGGTAGGGACACTAGCTTTGTTTCAGAATTTTTTTTTTACAAACGAAATTCAGCCACTCGAAAAATGTATATCGTAAACTATACGTGTACTATTATAATTATTAATACAAAGATCGAACACTCAGAAAAAACTCCTTCGATCCAGCCGGACGGTCTGGCACGGTATGGTAGAAGGATTTTTTTATAATTATAATAAACTAGTAGAGCAATTTCACAAAAATAATTGAATATCAATTCAATAAAAAATTTAAAATACAGTGAATAGCGACATCTCTCGCCAGGGCTGGTAGCTGCAAAGGTATCTAACTGGGTGATAAAACTTTCATAGATTTCTCGCAGATGGCCCTACGACTAAAAAGTCGTTGAAAAACCAAATACAAAGACACGACAAAAAGCACATAGAAAAATTCGTGAGGTCCGCTAGTTCGTTCCGTTGCTTAGTTGATATAGCGTCTGGCACGGTATGCTAGAAGACGTCGGCTCGAATCCGGCCGGATCGAAGGAATTTTTTCTGAGTGTTCGATCTTTGTATTAATCATTATAACAAACTAATGGAGTAATTTCACGAAAATAATTGAATATCAATTCAATAAAAAAATTTAATATATGTGTTCTGTTTAGTTCAATTGGTGAATTGAATTGGTCAATCAAAATAGGTGAAGTATATAGTATATAGACCTATTGAATACAGCGGATTTCTTGTAAAATTTCGAGGTATGTTTTGGTGTTTTTTGTATCGTGAGAATTTTTAATCGTGTTTTACTATTTAATACTAATCAGTATACATCCTTAGTTTTACTATATATTTTTTCCAAAGTGATTGGATTCAACACTTTCACTGTTATGCTAAATTAACCAAAGCCATTTGAGGTTGTATCCACTCTTAATAATAGAAATCAGATGATGTCATCACGTCAGTCACAATCGTAGAAGATATGAGAAGACATGTCGAGTGACCACCGGTTTTCAATGGAACCACATGGCCAAGACAGCAAGAAAGTCTGGTACTAAGACCAGAACCAAGTATAGAAAGCATGAAGAGGCCCAAGGACCAGCAACGGCCAGCACCGGCTTGATGATGATGATGACCACTGACCATAAAATTGACGTCACGTACACGTGGCATGTAGAGTCCTAGAAGGGGTGTAGAAAAGACAAAATTTACAAGGACCTACATCGATAAGAGTAACGCTCTTTAAACAAAATATTAACATATACAATCATGTCCAGCGCCCGAACTGAGTGCTCTTTGATCTACATAGCTCTACAAAGTTTAATTCAAAAGCTATATGCACGGATACATGAAATTGCAATATCCTATAATTATAGAGCACCGGCTGAAGCGGTGCTCTCACCGCAGCGAATAATCCCAAATCAGAACCGACGCATACAGCACTAACTAGCTGACCTAAAATACATTACAATGATTACTAGCATTACTAAATACACAGCCAAAATTTGTTCCAACTGCCATTTTGAACGCTACATAAGTGACGTTAAATATTGGGTCGGCCAAAAAAAAAACCGTGCGGTATCAATGTACAAATGAAAAACCAAATATGAAACTTCATTCAATTATATATTTGACATGTTGATCGACAATCGTTTGCCATTTTTCGAGTAATTTTAGAATTCTTCTTTTATGAAAATTCATGTCTTTTAACTTAACAAAAATGCAACTCTAGCGTCGTTTGACGGTCTCTTCATTATCAAAGTCGTGTACGTCTAAAGAATTTTGTAAAGATTAAATAAAACAATTGAAAATATGAATGGGGTATATCGAGGGAATACATTGGATGAGGTAACACATCCCAAACTAACTGCAGTAGCTTTTGACGGCTTTGTAAAGATATGCGTGTGGTTTGACGTGATGAAATACAACACCGTTACAATTCACCAGTTCTGGGCGATTCTCATGAAACTTAAAACTTTCCCGCCTATTCTTGAATAAATAAAATATAAAATATTATTTTTAAAATGACCACAGACAATACAACATTACAAAAAAATGTTCTTTCTGTTTAAAGTTAACTAGTGGAAAAAACCGCACGGACATTTTGGCCAATCCATTACAAATGTCACTGAATTTATATGGTCGCAGCATTATTTTTGGTGTGGTTAGAGACAGAGAGACAGAGAGTTGTACATATTTGATATGGCACATTGTGTCTATATTGTAACGTGAAAGTGAGACAGCGCACTGCTGTGTGAAGATTTACATTATTTGTTATTAAAATTACGTTGAATATGCAGACATAATTATATGAATACCCTTTGACCTTGAATTAACTGAAATAAACTAATGTAACTAGACTTGATCTGCTTTTTACTTACCATTGTTCTAAATTGGCCCTTACCTGGGATAGGGTGCTCACTTAGCTCAGTGGTCATGAAAATACAAATCTTGATGACCTTGAGCACAGCTAAGAATAACGAAACGGTAAAGACACACACTGTTGTGACTCTAATGGCAACAACAGGTATTGTGTGCTCACTTAATATTACAACACCAATAACTTAGTATTAACATACAAACCTGCAAAACCATAAGTACAGTGATGAACAATGTAGCTGCGACAGCACACACCGCTATAACTACAGTGGCAACACCAGGCAAAGTGTGCTGACTGGACTCAGTGTGCATTGCGCCCCATTCTGCGATCCGTCGCTTTCCCGCTACGGATGAGTTTATGCACTCGCCTTGAAAAAAATATTTTTTTTGTCCAAATCACATAAATTTCTTATTAATACCTTGCAAGAGATTTGAAGTAAAAATGTCATAAATAATGTCGTGGTTTAATAAGACAAGTAGGATAACTCCATATAAACGTAGCAGCGCGCCTTATACATACATGCACGCCGATCGCGCGCCTTGCACGGACACACACTTTCGCATAACCTCGAGATACCGTTGCATAGCTCTGGTCGTCACACGCGCCATTCATTAAACAATTTAAGCGTGCCCTTGGAATGTAACAAGTGACATAAAAAGTAGACATGTCTATTGTTGTGTTTGAACAAGAGTAACTGAAATTCAGACTTGTTAAGAATTTCATTTCTACTTCTTAATCATACTACCATAATCGAGTTACCAATCCGTGATGTTGGTATAAAAATATCAATATCTAAATACTGCATTTAACAAAGGTTATTACAGTATAGCATGATAGCACTGTGATAAACACCATAATTTTTACCAACTAAATTTTGATTTAAGAACTTAAATAATATATGACATCCCTACGCTCCGAGAGAATTGTAGGCATTAATGCGCCGTACTGGCGGAAGTTGCCCCATTTGTCTTATTATACTATGGTATTTGTCAGGACGCATTATCAGATGAGACTAATACCAGGAATGTGTCTATTTTACATTAAATTAAAATAAAAAACTTGGGTGGTAACCAGATATTTTTTAGATAACATTGCCTTGCATCTTTACCACAAAACCTGACACCATTGCTTTAGTGTGTGGCCGTTCTTCTAGGCCGTTCAAATAAGTATTCAATTTAAAACACACCATTGACATAAAAGCTAAAATGCCGTTAGTATATAGTCACCAACGTGCATATTCAATAATCGTGTAAGTTAAATTCGACACAGAAAACATAATCGTTCGACGAATAGACCATATTTGTTTGTGAAGTGCGCTTCACGTTGAAACGATTTGTCAGAGATTCGTAAATAGTTAACATAGCTATTGGTTCAAATGCGGTCACTGAATGATCACTTCAAACTGAATGTATAATGTGAACAGCGCAATGTGTAATACAAACGGACGACTCTAATTTGCTTTGACAAAAATACCAAAATAATCATGGGATTATAAAGTAAAGTAATTACTGAATCCATAGGCATCATTCACATTTAGTAATTACATTATTTTATTAATTTAGTATCATCCTTTTCAATTGATATTAATGCAAAAAAGGGATAACATTGTTTTAGACAATTACTAACAGTTTTAGATTAAGAAATG